TTATTTATTTATTTATTTATTTATTTATTTATTTATTTATTTATTTATTTGCATGTTTCGGTAGGGGAATTTGAAAAAAAAAGAACTTAGCAAAGGTTAAACTAAAAAAGCTTAATATGACTAACCAACTGCTCTAGGTCTGAGATTGCGAACAAAAACTTGTGGCCAACTGGTGTTTTCCTCCATTTGATATTATGTAAAACTGAATCCCAGAAAGCAAAATAAATCCCCTGGAAAAGCTGCATCCACTTTATTCTTTGTTCACTATAAGATCATCAAGGTTCGTATTCCGGTCTGCCTTGTCTATTGAATACACATATGTATATATAATGCATTAATTCACATATGTCTACAGTTTTATCTTGCCATGGGAAACATCTGTAGTTCACAAAAAGCTTACCCTCAAAAAGTTGGGCTTTTCTTAAAACTTTCCCTTTTTTATTGCAGCTGCTCACAACTTCCAATATCTCTTTGTGTTTCGTTTTAGCCTTAGCTAACCCGTTCACTGCATTTTTAAAATGTTTTGTATGATATTCTTTGCAATATAGTCATGTAAAGAAAAAAACACTTCGGCATGCAGAAGAGGACTAATACCAGGAATCAATAGCCAAACAGCAAACAGGTTGAACACCACATTAAATTAAAAAGGGGGAAATGGAAATGTGGAAATACTGGTCCTAAAGTAAAGCCAGTATTTTACTGTTATAACTTGTTAACTTGGGCCAAACAGTGGTGTGGTGGTTGGCACTGTTGCCAGCAGGAGTTCAAAAAATGAAAGCAGGGCCAGGAGAGGCTAATAAAGTCGAAGGGATAAACTTCATTTTTCACACAAGGCTGAACTGAAAAGCCGCATTAAAAAAGACAAATGGACTAGGATTTGTCTAATGTTATAGAGACTGTATACATACTGCCAGGGAAGGAAAATTAAGCCAAAACTAAAGAATGAAATGTGCTTATTATATGTTTTACCATCAGTTCTTTCTTTTTGTTGTCTATGGCTTTTGTTTGTATCTGTGTGTGCGTACGTATGCGTGTGTTTATTTTTAAAGAATATATATTTTTGTGTTATCCACCTGAAAAATAGATGCTAGAACTTATCGTGAGAATGTCAAAAATCTTTGCAATTTTGGAAATTATTTTCATTCACTGTATTTATTGAAAAAGTTTTTTAATTGATTTACCATCAATTTGGTGTACTATGTACTCATGCGAGGTAGGGTTGTTTTATTTATGAAAGGTTTACCATCTGTTCTGCTTCTCCTGCCATAGTTTGTTTGTTCATATATTGCACTGTGATGTTCACCATGCCCAAAATTTCATACACTCAGATCATTCAAATTCATGATTCTTCTCCATCTACCTAACAGCCATCCCAGTTTTATCGACAAATGGGAAAGGGTCACAAAATGGAAAATGTTGTCTCTTTTTGTTTTACCCAAAACAGTTCGAAATGCTGGCCAAAACCATTTGTGACGATTAAACTGGAAGCACAAGAAACTAATGACTAAATCACAACACGTCTGTTAAGTTAAGTCTGTCATCATGTTTAGATAACACACACAACAGTTGGACGAAAATGTAACCTTTAAGATATGTTAGCCATATCGAAATTCTAACATCTAAGTGATTAATTACTAATCTATACGACCCTTTCATTGACGAGACTGAATCAGATTAGAAGATTTCTGTTAATTCCACCAAATTTATAGTGTATTACTAATACAATGCAGATGACAGCCATTTTTGGGGAAATACGGTGATGCTGTGTTTGTCTAACAATTTATTTTCAGAACTGCTGGATTGAGCAACAAAAGTAGCACAAAAACATTATGAATTACACCTTTGTTTTTCTGATTTTGCTGTGTTCCTGGTTTAGATGAATGTGTTTGTTTGGACTATGATGTAAGCTATTGGTTGATTAGTCTGTCACATGAAGGCAGGCAGGACTGTTTTGACTGTTGGATGTATCAATGTGGACCCAAACAAAAGTGCTCAATGCCCATCTTTTTTTTTTCAATTTTCAAAATTAATATTACGTGGGTCATCTTTTTTCTCCCAGTATTCATTCTACTACCTTTAGGAGGAAATTTTCATTTATCTTGATTGACAAATAAACGTGTCATGGCTGCACTTTCGGTTTAGAGGAAACTAGGAAATGCTAGCACGCTATCATGCCTAACTAAACAGAAGATGTCAGACATCATACTTTAATATACTCTGATATGTCTTTCTTCACACTTTTTGTCATTTGAATGATGGTGATTTTAATCTTCTGCTCAAATTTAAGCAGTTTTACAATGGGGATAGTTTACATAGCGGTCATTCATTCCTTGTGAAACACTTTGTGTTCTTCATACAAAACATTATAGACAGTTCCAGTTTATGCATGGTGTTGGTTGAATCTGGCAACAAATACAATCAAACTAATTTTTTGCAGAATATCCCATTTTATATAATGCATCTTAGGCCCGTATTAAGCTTTGGTATGGTTTCGTTATGGTAGCAGCTCTGCAGTGTCTGTTCTTGCAATAAGATTGGATTCTTTGTGTGTTTCAATTCTTTCTTTTCTTATTCCTATGTTCACAGATACTCTTTTACAGAGCAGGGCAAAGGTCAGGGAGGTTTAATGTTTCAACATGCACACAATTTGAAGAAAGGTCTTTTTTTAAACTTGAGTTCAGAGTCCAGATCATGTTGCATCCAATTTTAGAAACAAAAAAGGAGTCACAAAACAAAACAGTAAATTATAAAAATGAGAATAAACACAGGAAGAACTCATCCACCTTACTTTTTCTATACTCCTTTACATCCCCTCTCTTTGTATTTCCATGTTTACTTTCTCCCTAATGCACATATCTTACCTTCATATATAATCACCTCCTTTATATACATTTTCTACACGGTATACTTTGATGCAGATTCTGTATACGTATGTATACGCTTGTATGCCTGTCTTTGTCTCCATTGTATGCCATTCATATCTATCTACCGCTCACTATGTTTTATTGAAACTAAAGTCACTATACAGTTAGTCTCCTCATCATTATCTCATTCTTCTCCTGCAGTTATAATGATTAAACTATAATCGCTACTGTCCATGTTCCCCTCTACCCTAGCTCCGCCACACTGTCGCCACATAACCCACCTCTCCCAAGTTATAACACCTTCACTTCACACAGTGAAAAAAAGACTTTTTCACTTTAGAAAAATACAACACATCAGGAAGAAAGAGTCCAGGGGACATGAAGTGTATAGGGAAGGGTGGGGGTGAGGAAAGATTAATGATGATAGTGACGACCACAAAGAGAAATGTATGTAGTATATATACTGAAAAGGAAAAGTGCACTATTATGACTATGATTATTATTGCCTGTAAGAAATACTGACCAATAAACAACAATGGAAATAAAGTTAGTGATTTTCTTTCTCTCTGTGTCTTCAACATCCATCCATCCATTTGCTATACCACTTAATTTAGTAGGGTCGTGGATGACTGGAGCCTGTTCAGTCTGAAAGAAGTAAAGATGAGGAAAAATTCAACATTCAGTTGTTGACTGTGTGGGTGAATAGTGCACTGGTTTTACCAGCTACGTGGTAAACAAATCATAGTAGCCTCCATTTGAAGATTTAGGGGTTGAAATATGTGGTATTCTATCATTCAGGATAAAAGGATGGAGGCAACATTGGCATTTATGCAAAAATAACACCATAACACCGTGGCATGAAAATGCATGGAATGGACAAAATTACACACATGTAAAAATATGCTGAGCAATACTACAAACTGCAAATGTCAACATTACAGCAACATGAAGAGTATGCAAAAAAAAAAATGTCAGGGATAACAGCACCAAATCATATGTGTTGCGGTATGGCTGTGTTCTAAAAACTGCTACTAAACTGGCATGAGTGCTGTGCAGACCAGTCAAACACTCAAACCATCTGAGTCAATATCTATACTGGAGTATTTAACTTTCAAATGTAAAACTGTTGTCTCTCAGTTCCACCAAAAATGTTATCTTATTTCAAATAAAAGCTGTGCATGGCAGTAAGAAATGTATTTTGTTGTTGTTTTATTTCACTCTTTGCCAGCAAATTCTAAAACAAACACACTGAAAATCAAAAGCAAACTTGAGGTTAAAACATTGTTGTATTTCTATGAGAAGAATGTATACATCAAAACCGATTTTGAAAGATTGTATATATCAAAGTCAAAGTAGGCTTTATTTTCAGTTATGCCATACATACAGAGACATATTGAATATTTAAAATGATGTGAGTCTTGAGCTCCAGGGCAAAATAAAATTTGAAACAGTAAAAAAAAATGAGTAACAAAAGTCTCAGTATAATAAAAGAAAAGAGCATTAGTAGAGTGTGTGTGCGTGCTTGCTAGACAAGATGTTCCAGGTTAAGGTTTTGCAGTGGCTTTGGAAGAATGTTTGAAATTGAAGAGCTTCATGTAAGCATATTTACAGCTGAGGTTGTGCAAACAAAAAGGCAAATCATTTTATAAATAAGAATGACAAAAAAACTAAAAAAAACTGTAGCTCTAAGAGATTCAGTCTTACAGATCACAGTGCCCTTAAGATGAAAGAGGTCATACAGATATATATGGTGTTATTGAGACATGTGTCTATCTCTCTGTGTTAAAACACATGAAATAAATTATAATCTTTTTTAATTTTTGCATGAATATCATTACTGTTATGGCAAATGATAAATTGAAGGAACAATACAATACAATTCTATGTACTTTTTTCCTCAAACGATTTCAAAGGAATGTAATGCATGTAAAGAAAAAAAGGGCCTGAGCGGCAAAGCCAAGTGTCAGCTGTGGGCGCCTGCTTGTACTTGTCATAGTTTCCTGTAGAGGAAACAACATGGCAAGGTCTCACTCTGACACAAATACCGCGTCATTTGTTTCAATTCACCTTGTTGAGGCAAAATCAGACTAGAGAAGCAGACGATGTCTAAAAATTATATACTGTGTTTTTGCAAATTTTAATTATATTTTCCTGCTGTGCCCATGTTTCTGGTCAAAATCTTCAAACATATGTAAATTTAAATGGTTGAAAAATGCGCGATGATTAATACGTTAATTACAAACGTATTTATACCATAAAGTTTGTCCCGTGTCTTACTCAATGTTGAATGGATAAACTAAGTGTATCAAAGTAACTAAGATGTATTAATGTGGCCATTTTACCCACAGTTTGGTCATTTATGTTTTCAAGGTGCGAGAGCTCTTCATCTGCGTGTGTACGTCAGCTATCTTTGCTGGCGGGCATTGGTTAGAAGGGAACTCACGTGTTCACTCCCAAACAGGCTCTCGAGAGGAGGGGTACAAACAAACGCTTCTTTATCAACTTTCACATCGTCAGAGATCATCGGAAGAGTGCAGGTAACCTTATGTTTGTATTTGATTTTCACCCAGTGTATTCCTGCCGTCGTGTGTTCCTAATGATGTACGTTCTGTGGGCGTTATTCTTTGTCCGCTTTTGTGCATCGCGCGGGGTGGGTACGGTGCAGAATGGACCACCGTGCGTTGAATTTCTCTTCTACTATATTAAGCCATGAAGTTCACCCACCACTGACAGTGAAAGTTGTTTGCGGAAGTGTAGCGGTGGTTTTGTTTGGTCTGAGTATGGCTGTGGTGAAACTCGGAGCATATCCACATATGTCCGTCTATAGTGACTTATAGTGATGTACGGTTGATGATGGAGATGGGCAAGGCCGAACGGCTCTGGAACTATTTCCTTTGTGAAAGTGGTACACGGTTTAAATAATTCATACAAATGATGAAAAAATAACCAATAGATAAATCTTCAACTCTTATGTTGTTTTTCTGAGGCACGTGAGGTTGAATATAGCTGTTTTTATCACACACCCGATTGTAAATAAATCTGCTATATTTATGCTAGTCTTGTAAGCAAAGCTACCAGTAATGTCAAGAACATGACAAGTCGTGGCGCGTCATACACAAACTTATCAGCCAGTTATTTACCCATTTCTTTAAATAAAAACCTGTATGTGGCTGGGTAAATCAATTATAGCTTACTATGTTATGTATTATGACGTATTGAACGTTTCATTACACTAATTAACTCTGAATTTGGGTAAATTCAAAGATCTTGCTAGTAGTTTGCAGGTGCCACGCGCTGAGATTTTTGAATGGGGGAAAAGCCGGAGCTGCTTTTCTGCTCGTGCAAGAAAATCCAGTTTGGCCCTCACGGCGCTAAGGTTATAGGGAAAAACCAGTTTGTAACTTTACTGAACAACCTTACTTGGCCAAAAAACGCGTTGCGGAAGAATTTCCTTAAGCTCTTTCTAATTAGCCTTGCATTGATTTGTGCTCCTTTTGTTCATTGCAGGGTAATTGAATCCCCCAGACTGTTTATCATCCACCAAAATGTTGATGTAGCAATAGTTTAACAAGACTATAACCGTGTATAATATTATATGAGACACATACAACTTAACAAGAAAACAGTGATGTTATATATTGAACAATAAATACATTCAAATAGCAGAAACGCTGTGCTTAAAATCAACCCCCACACACCTTAAGCAGCTACAAATTGAAGTGTTTGTTTTTATATAAATGTTTATTATTCTCTGCTATTGGAATATCTTGAATCTTTCAAGATATAAAGTGGTATTGTTTTGAAGATATGTTGCTTTTTAAAAATTCACTAGCCTTGTAATGACCCAGTTGCAAGTTTTATCTGTTAGACAGACAGGCTGACATTTTATTTAAGTTCATGGTAACCACAAATACTAAAAGTGCTCGGTTGGCCTGTACTACAGTATAGATTAAACACCTCTTAGACATCTTTTATTAATCTTGAATTGATAACCCTTAACAGTAAGTTGGATATTTCCCTTTAATGTTGTTTATCAGCTTGGTAAGTCAACCCTGGTTTTCTAACTTTGGTTTGTGTTGGTGATGGGTGGAAAAATGCAATCTTGGACTTGAACGCTTTTACTACAGGATTCCATAAGGGGCAGTCACTGACCAGTCAGCCCAGATGTTGGTCTCAGAACAGCTCTCTTAGCTTATAATTTTGCTGATCTGAAAATCAACAGCCGTTGAATTATAGAAGGTGGCACAGCATGACATAATTGTCAATACAAAACACAGAAATGTAAAAATTTAGCAAACTCCTACTGGCCACCAACGTACTGCACCTTATACATTTGTGAGGAAGCCTACAACCAGCAGACAGAAGAAACTTTTGAAATGTGAGGTTAGAATTACAAATTGTAGTACTACTGTACAACAGATAAAGAAGAGAAAAAATACTTTAACATTAAAGAAGATGTCTTTTAAACTTCTAAAACTTGCAGGACAGAGGACTACCTTTTGAAACCCCTCCTCTAAAAACTATTAAGAACCACATTTACCTACATAGAACCTATTAAAATAAAAGCTGGCGATTTTATAAGTGTCTTCTTTTTTTCTTTAAGGTTTTCTTGGATCAAGTGCCTTTTATTTGGGGATGCAGGCAAGGGCAATGAGCTCGAATTTAAACCCAGGCTGCCTGTACGTGAGCATAGAGTCCCCATACATGGGACACCTACTCAAACCACAGAGTTAAAAGTACATTTTTTTTCATAATACAAAACCAAAATAGCATAGATTTTTTTCAAAGTGTTTTTACATTTTTTTGAAGCCATTAGAAGGTGGAAGTGGACTATGTACCCCCAGACTTTAAGCTCTTCCCCAAAAAGCTATATCTGGGAAAAATGCAGGAAAATAATTTATATGTAGATAATGATTTATTGGAGAGAAATTTTTTTTTTTAATTCTTAAATTGAAGGAATTGGTCTCTGTTTGAGGCAACAAATGTGTTCCTTCACTCTGAAACCTCTTTATGAGAGTTATGGGGTGTGAATTAGCATAAGCAGTTTTTCAATTCAAGGCAGGTAAAGATGACTCTACCCTCTCAGAAATATTTTTATCTGCATCCTACTGACACTAGCTGGTTTCTTGGCTCCGGTCATATCTTTTTGTTGTGGTTACAGTGCGGCCTGTTAGCTTGGTATCCACTGGGACTGTGTATTGTTGTATAAAAATACAGAATCTATCAACCTGTCTAGCTCTAAGTGTGGCAGAACACTGTATCCCGCTGGGCCTCTTTTCCTAGACAGATGTTAATGCTTATTTTGTAATAATTAAGGGTTAGGGTTAAGGCAAGGATTATGTCAGTTAATCATTGGCTGCTGTGAGTATGTTCCCCATGTGTATTTAGAGCAAATGTAGAAACTGTTGGATGGATAACTTGACCACATTTTTCCTCCTTCGCTCACATTCCAGCAGCGCAGTAACTGTGGGAGTGAGAATGAGAGGCAATTAGTTGCTTGGCTGGACAGGGAGAAGGGGAATAGGTTGTACATAGTCAGTTTAACTGTTGAAACTGACTAAAAGTTATTTTTAGCCAGCCTGTGAATAAAACTGTCAGCAAAATTGAGAAGTATGCAAAACATGTATACTCTACTGATGATGGCAGTATACTGTGTATGCTGGCAGTTTGGAAAAAGAGGAAACTCACCAAACTATCTCTAACATGATCCAAACTGCCTCCAAACTCACTGACCACAAATCTCCATCAAACACCCACATTTTGAATGGAGTCTTAGGGATTTCTATCGCTCAAAACTCGCACAAAAATGTCATAATTTGTAGCTCCTCCCCTAAATGAAGCAAACCTCGATTTGCGGAAACGCCCCTCCCCTACTCGGCACATGCTTCTTAGCTTATACAGGGCACATCGCTACTGCCATCGCCTGAGCATATGTGTAAAACTCCAAACACTGATTAGTACTTTGAATAGTCGTATAAATGAAATAAAAAATTTCACCCATCTGTCCAGATAATGGACTTTCCTCTATCCCCCTAGTTTTCGCTCAGTCTATTGGTTTCTTACTTTTCCTGTTTCTTCGCCTTTGTCCTGTGCTTGTGTTGTTTAATCCTGATCTTTTGTAATTTCTGAGTGTTTCTGCCCGCCCTGTCACACCCGGTATCCACTGCGTATTGCCCTCAACTGTCATGCATTTTGTCAACAATCCTCCCAAAGATTCCTGATTTGTTGAATATTTTTTGTGATCCTGTGGCTTTTGTCTTTTGATGGTGGCCTGGTTTGTCTATCGCATCCTAACCGTCCATTAAGAGTTGGAAAGGAGGAAGCTCATACAAATGCTCTTTCTGCATTTCCTGTTTAATAAAATCCTGTTTAATGACAGCAGTGATCAGTGAAGAGATTCTCTCAAGTTATGTTTACATAAATTTTGCGTCCTATTCTGATCAGAACTGTACTCATTATACGGGCTCTGAAATAGTTATTCTGACCTGTGTTTACATGACTTCCTCTTTTTTTTCCTTTTTTATATTTGGCTGTCCTGCTATGAATAACTATGGCTACATGCATCTGACGTAACATACATGTCCATTATGAATAATTTTTTTTTGTCATAACGGATTATATCACAAATGTGTATCTGTAATCAGATTAGGGTTGTCACGATACTAAAATTTTCAACTCGATACCGATACTCAGGAAAATACTCGATACTCGATACCATTTTCGATACCACAAGGATAAAAAAAGACCCTAAAATGTAACTGAATTGTGTCTTTTATTTCAAACTGACCTGTTACTGATGTTGTCATGACTGGTGGCCCACATTAATGACCCTAATCCTAACCCTAACCCTGACCCTAACCCTGACCCTAACCCTTCATAATTGTGAGAAACAATTTTGGGGTTAAACTTGTTTGGACTTATTGTACAAACCTATTTAACATCCACTATTTTAACATAATATTATGTCTAGAGTTTAATTCAGTGTTTGCTAGATTACTTTCACTATTTTTAAATTAATGTCTATATTGCCATGAAGTAATTAGGATTTTTTTGCCTGGGATCTTCCTATTGGTGACCTAATCAAAACGTCCGGTTTGGATGTGGGCGGAGTTAGATATGTACTTGATTAATGGTAGCATGTTATTGTTAGCCATTAGCCTCAGCTAGCAAGGCTAACGTCTTGTTAATGATCATAAACAACGTAAATAAATACATAAATAAATCAGAGAGAAGGGGCGCAGCGACGGCAGGTCAGCGTCGCGCGCGCGCTTGCGCGCACTCGCGCGGGCTCGCGCGGTGGTATCGATACTTTTGAAAATGAGTATCGTATCCGGATACAACATTTTAGTATCGATACTTTTTCGAGTATCGATACTTTTGACAACCCTAAATCAGATGCTCTGATTACAATGATGTGCAAAGTACTTAAGCCATTCTCTGTTAAGTTTCGATGGTTCCAGGAAAAATTAAAAAAGCTGCTGGAAATTGCATGCCCAGAATAAATTATGTAATTTTTGATGAGGAAATGAATCCAAAATGGGATCAAACATGATCCTTATTAATATTTTGCTTCTTTTGAAGGCATTTCCACTGTAAAGAATAGATGTGTAAACTGGTTATTTTTTATGTACTTTAAAATACTGTACACAAAGGTGAACAGTCTTTTTTTTTATTTTTATGACTTGATCTTTATTTAGATTTTAACTAAATAAAACATACACAGTATAGCATGTTGCCATGTTACCAATTGGGTATGCAAGCACTGAAAACAGACAATATAAAGCAAAACAAACCATCAAATAATAAAATAAAAACAAGAAAGATGCCAACAATACACTTAACCAAGGTTACAGCAGACATTAGTGATTAAGGTTGATCTGAGCTGGAAACGTCATTGACCGGTATAGGAAAAGTAGGGGGCCCATTTGTCATTGTAATAATCTACTCTATTTAACAGTCTGTATGATAATCTTTCAAATGCTGCCAGTTGTCCAAGTGATGTGTGCCACTGGGTGAAAGTAGGTGTTGATCGGGCCTTCCACTCCCTTACTAAAAGTTTTCTCCCCAGCATGATGGCTGTCTGTACCCACTGTGCAAGAGAAGAAGGCAGATAATTCAGAACTGAAGGATTTCCCAGTACATAAAGCCTGTTAGTAAAGGGAATGCCCTGACCAACAACTTTCTCCACAACAGTGTGAACAGAGGACCAATACACTTGAACTTTAGGACATCCCCAGAGCATATGCAAAAGTGTGCCACTATCATGCTGGCACTTCCAACAGGCATCAGAGTCTGCTAATCCCACTTTATGCAATCTAGAAGGTGTCCAGTATATGCGGTTCAGGATTTTAAATTGGACCAATCTAGACCGTAGTTCTCGTGACAATTTTGAAAGGTGAACAGTCATGAATATTTTATTTCATACTGCTGATATACTCCAATTAGATCATTCACTATGGACCTTTAACTAATTATTAGTTGATAAAACATTGTTAAACATTCTTGGCATCGGATTTACTGTCTAGAGTTTAACAGAAACTCAGCTAATGCTACCATGGCAGCATTTTTAAAATGAGCAAAGTACAACTGGACTGAAATGAAAATAAATTGGATTTAACACGGAATAAATAATGAGATCCTAGGGGATAAAAATGACTGTTGGAAAGGGCTCATCTGATGGCTTTGTGCGAGGAGCAACCTTTCTCTGTTCTTTTTGGTTGTCACAACCCAACTGACATCTATGATTGGTTAAGTGCTGTAATACAAACCGGACAACCGAAAACTGTCCACTGATTTTACACACCATAACCATCAATGACAACGTTTTGGATTGTTCATGATAATTTACGAAGCTTTTTAATTAAAAAAGAGGGGGGAACTAATATATATTTTTTTTTTTTACATCTTTTTGTCAACTCTTGTTTCCGTAGTGATGGCAGAGGCACATCAGGCAGTGGCGTTCCAGTTCACCATAACACCAGAGGGTATCGATCTGCAGCTGTCCTATCAGGCTCTGAACCAGATCTACCTGTCCGGAGTGCGATCCTGGAAGAAGCGAGTCAGCCGGATGAGGGTGAGGATTTTGGGAAGCTTTTGGGATCTTTGGGGATAATTCGGTTTCTACAAGTGAACTGTAATGTATTTTTAACAGGCCCAATTCTATTTTTTAAATTTTTTTTAAAGGTTTACACACTAATAAATATGAACACACAGAAAAAGATAGCTAAGAGTCTGAGAAGGTACTAATGAACTATTTAGGAACAGATCACCAAAATATGAAAAACTTTAAGAACTGCAATCTTTCAACACAAAAGATTTGGGGGAAAGAAAAGCAAAACCCTCTCTGTCTATCTGACCTTTTTGAATTCGTGTACGGCTTTAAAAAGGAGCTTTACACCTAAAATTCCTGAACAGAAAAACAAAATAAATTGTGTGAGCAATTTGTGTTCAGCCATCCCCTGACTCATCTGCCTAACGGTCGGAAGAACCAAAGTTCTAGACCTCTGTCGGCAACAGAGTAAAAAAAGTGAGATATACTTGCAGAGCAGACTTTGTCTGGTAATGTTTTGCTTTAAAACAGGAGGTGAGTCAGCTGGATTTTCAAACTAGGCCAGAAGGGGGTGGGATACCGGTTCAGTGAATGTTCAGGAAGGGCAAGCTAAAGGGTAGAAGCAAAATAGTGCTGCCATTTTTAACCAACAGTACCCAGGGTTGAGATGGCTCAGAACTGTGAACAAAATTATTGTCAGCTCTCGATTTGTTGCACTTCCCCTGACTCAGGGTAGATTAGGGAAAATTAAGTCTGCTGCGGAGTGTTGATCTATCCTGTTTGTCTACTGCGCACCAAGCCTAGATGAACCAGAAAATATGCCCTGACTAGATCTACTCAAAATCTGTCCTTGCCACACTTTCCATATATATTTGTTCTACTTTCCCAGAACATAACTGCTATGAAATGAATGGAAATAAAAGTTTTCTAAAAATGTATCTCTCTTATAAGGCTCTGCTGCGTGCTCCGCTTAATTGGGTAGCCTGTAAAAGGGCTGTAAAAAGTCCACTTGGGCTTTATTAACTCAATATCTGTCCATGTTTAACATTGCTATCAATGTTCATCAAGAAAGAACAATGTGAAACAAGCTGAGAGTGGTACAACTTGAACTACTAGTATGAACCAATTTTATGAGCTAAATTGAAAGATTTGAGATCTGATAAAGAAAGGTTAATCCCATTGCATGTGTGAGTTTCCTCTAAAAGTTATCTGTTTTGTCATACTATTGCCTAACTATGGAGCCCCTCAAGGTAACATGCCCATTTTTTTTTTCTTTTGCAAGGCCATAATTATGCAGGATACTCAGCCCAATCATTAGTTTGGGGCAGTTTGGAGATAATGGAACAACCCAGACCCTTGGAAATGTTTTGAAGGTTTAGTTTTGAGATTGGTGTGAAATATGACACTATTGTGTGACAAAGCAAAGCCTATTGCAGGGCATGTAAAACTTATTGCAAGGGTACGCAACATTTTTGCAATGGGACGCAAAAGTGTTGCGTGCAAATGCAAAAGAAAGAAAAATTGCCATGTTACCTGAGGGCCTCCGTACCTAACTGGATTATACCCCACTAAGTTTTCCTTTCTTCTTTTGTGGTTACAGAACAGGGTGATAAAGGGGGTGTACCCTGCCAGCCCTTCCTCCTGGCTCTTTGTGGCCATAGGAATCCTGGCCACTATGTACATGCAGTCGGATCCAAGCATGGGGCTCATTGATAAGATTCAGCAGCACCTTCCACTAAGGTACACAAACACTCAATGAGTGGGTTTTAAATTTCTTATTTATAAAAATATCTATTTATTAGCGCGGTTACCCTTGAATTTCCATATTGTTGTCATTATATTGAACTGTCTTGGATTGGATCATTACATATAAACATGAAAATCTGACTAGTTTGACACTCATGACACCTTCAGTATTTGTACACAGGGGCTTTGGTAATTCATTCACAAATTAGATTTATCTTCCAACGACATTTTTTTAAATTTTTTTTTATTAAACTTTTTTTGTTGATCAAACTTTAAACACACACAAAAAAGTCCACAAAGTATGTTACATTGTCCTATTGTACATAGTTTCCCTGTACGCCACATTGACATCTCCAACAGAAAATATGTTTCACAAGAAAAGCAGTAATAAGAAATGGAAACTATATAACGGCTGTCATCAGATACACCTCATGTCCCTTTCAAGAATACCCAGAAATCATCCCAGGTCATTCGTTTCTCATCATTCAGCCTTTCCAGCATACTCTCATAGGAGGCTGCTTCAATTAAATTCAAAATAATTTCCCTCTGGGATTATTAAAGTATTTCTGATTCTGATTCTGAATTACAGCATTGACCCAGTCTTTTAATTCCAAAGCTTTTATACATTATCAATTACATAGAATAATTCTTAACGTTGTGACACAGCAGAGTTTTAACACAGTGAAAAACTGTTTTTTTTTGTTTTTTTAACAAATTTGTAATCATTTTTTCAGAAATAATACAATGTGGTACGAATGTACATGTGTATTTTTACATTTTTAAACATAAAAAAAAAACACAAACACAGGGTGATTTCAAAAGTGTGAGAAAAAACAAAACAAAAATATCTTATTGCATAATTAGTGGAACGACAGGTCTCCAACGTTTATTGAATATGGGTATTATTAGTCTCAGAGAATATGTTATATGTTCCATTTGGTATATATCCCAGACCTTCTGAATCCATATATTGTAGCAAGGAGGCTCAGGTTTGAGTCATCTGATTGTTATGCATTTTAGAGCCGCTGTTAATAATATAATCAAAATATATTTTCCATCTCGTGTAGTGATAGTTTTAGGTGTTACTCCCAATAAGGCAATGTCTATATTGGATGGGATTTCCTGTTTGAATGTGAATGCCTGTTTTGATATGCTTCCTACCAATGACTGGTCTAGAAGTAAGCAAAGTCTGGGGTCAGCAGGCAGTGAGAAACCCAACCATTCTTCTAATATTCCAAGGATTTTGCACCGCGACAATGCAATAATTAAGCATCCTGGAATGTAAAGCTGATGAGTCAATATTTAGCAGTGTGGGTGTGGTAGATGACTTTGAACTCTCCCCTACTCCGCAACCGCTCTATTTACTAGGTTGACTCATTGTCAACTGAGTAAAGTTGTCACTTGTCGTATTATTGCCTGACTTACTACATTATTTGGTTTATCTACATGTAACCGCACTTTGCTAAATGTTTGTGTGTATGTGTATATATTTTTTAATGCTTCTATGTTGTTATGTCTTCAATAACTCGTGACATTTTTAGTCTACGGACTTCATATGCAACCAACAATGCAACTGCAGTTGCTCATTTTTTCATGATATTTAGATTGACAAAATACTAAGTTACTCTTGTATTAACCCCTTGTTAACTTGGCATCAGAAAGCTTATGCATTCATCCTTCAAATTCATTATCCCCTCTGGTTTGAGTGATAAGGGCTGCCCCCTGTTGGAAGCATTTCCTAAAAGAGATTAATCAATCAAACTTAGAATGAAGGCAGTATCTTAGGTGATGCATTGGAAATTAAAGTACATCTCTACCAATTTTGTGAACAATACCAACTACAACACTACATTATTTGTGTCCTTCCAAATTGGCCCTGACTTATTGTAACATTGACTTGTAGGCCACTGAAGGCAGGGTGTCTTGTCACCAAGAAGTTGGCATTAAATCCTTTAAAGAGGAAACTTGGGCTGCGTAAATTGCATATATCAAAGAGTGCAAACAGCACTCTTATAGCTTCCTGTTTAAGGTATCAAGGGTTTTCCTTTACAAGTAAGTTGAAGCTAAAGGCTACTCTGAGCTATGTAACCAGACCAAAGGGGCTGTTTCTTGTATAAAAGTTTCTCATTGTATTTTCTCAAACTTCAAGTGTCCTTTCTCAATTCTTCTAAATATGACAAGTAAAAATATAGCCTTACTTTCTGAGACCTATGACTGCATGCTCTCCCCTTTTTTTCCCTTTTTTTTTTTCTCTCTGTTTAGCAGCACGTAATGTTGTGCTCAGAATATAATAGGTCATCTGAAAGGTGTGCTACCGAAAACAGCCATTTATCTCAATACCAGACTCATAGAACCTTTTTCTCTAGCATATCCCATACTTCATCTAATTGAGTTCCCCCTAACGATTGTTAAGCGAGGTCACGGCTATAGACTTGCTTTTACTAATATACATGGTCTTTTTCCAGATATTTAGGCTTCATCCCACCATCCAAAAACATGCATATTAGCTTAATTGGAGACTCTAAATTGATCGTAGGAGAGACTTAGACTTGACTTTATTTATTCCTTGGGATGACTCCTTCAGGAAAATTCAAGTTCCAACAGCTGAATACTTGCATTCAAGAAATGTAGTAAAATCTTGTTTTGGAATAAACAATCCATCAAAAACCCCATCCATTAGAAATGAATGGATGGGTGGTATGCATCAAAGTTGCAAAGGCCTCATATTTACCAATCATTCCCATGATGCCACATCTTCCACAGCTGTCCAAGATAAAACCCTACTCATCAAACTTAATCCTGTAGTTTGATTGTCATGTCAGCAGTTTTTCACTTGCAACATATTTCAGGTCTCTGAGGCCTTGAGTTTGCAGGTAGATAGAGCACCATCTGCACTATTTTTTTCTCCCCTTCTGGGACTCCCAATACTTGTTGAGTTTTTCTATTTTTTCAGCCAATTCAGAATCTATAATAGAATTTTTGGGAGTCTCATGTATCCCAACCAGTGCCAGGTGCCATTGTAACAAGAAAATTTGCCACATGACCATTTGGCAATCCAGGTCTTTAAGCTTTATCCATGGATATATTTCTCTATTCTCTACTTCTGCATTTGCCCAGCAGATGTTGCTGTTGCACTTTCACACTTTTCACCCTGATTTAACACAAAGAGAAAAACAAAAAGTTGGATGATTTTCAAGGGAAATTACATAAGTGATCTGTCTGCATTTACTTGGTGATTTGTGCTTACTTGTTGTTCCGTTTTAGTTTAAAAAAAGGCTTTCTGTTTTTTTTCTTATATAGTCTCCACATGTCACTCAGTGCCCAGGGTCAAACCATGGTGTCGGCACTGGTCTTCAGCACCTTGCTGTGGCTCTCCCTGATCCTCGCACTCAGATTCTGCCTGAAACTGCTCCTCTCCTACCACCAGTGGATGTTCGAGCAGCATGGCAGAGTTTCCAACACCACCAAAGTCTGGGTGGTAAGGTTTTTGTATAGTGAAATGGCTCCCTTTTGTGTCCGCTTTGCAGAGAATACTGACTTGAAATTGTTGCTGTCTTTCTCTGAAACATAGGAATATGCCTTTGATGCCACAAAGGATTAAAAACCCTTTAAATTCCCTATCCTTTTTTTTTTCTTGTATTTGAAATGATTAAATCATGTTAAAATTCCATCTGTTCTATATTGCCTCTGTTATATATATTTTTTTTAGTTCTAGATTTTTGTGTTTTCGAGGCCTTTTATCAAACCATATGTATCTCTATGTTTCTAAATCTCTGCCTGCTCCTCTTAGACTCTGGTGAGGCTATTTTCCAGACAGAAACCTTTACTGTACAGCTATCAAACATCTCTTCCTCACTTGCCTGTTCCTGCCATTAAAGACACTCTGAACAGGGTGAGAAAGCACACACACACTCACCCAAACATCATCTGCACTCTTTTTCATGCATTCACAGTAAAAACTCCATGAACAAACTTAAACCATGTGTGCATACTTTCATAATCCATGTTCATTCTGCACTGCTGTCTTCCAGCACTTGGAGTCCGTGCGGCCTTTGCTGACTGATCCACAGTTCAAACGGATGGCTGACCTGGCAGCTGAGTTTGAGTTGAGCCTGGGGAACCGCCTCCAACGCTACCTGAAACTTAAAGCTCTCTGGGCCACTAACTATGTAAGTGAAATCATTCACCCATTAGCAAGTACACATCCACACATTAATATTGGTTTCAGGCAGACGTGGCTCTGGCTCTGGCTCTGTTCAGGAACTCTGTTCTCTGTTCTGTTCTGTAACTATTGTTGTGAAGGAAGTAACTTGGGTGGGTACAAGTCTCAAATATGAGCTTCCTGCTTAACCCATTGAGTTGAACAGCAACTGTAGTAGTTTTGTCGAAGATAGGATTTTTGCATTGAAGGCTGTGTGTTTTGTGGATCGATGCGCCAAAAATTATTTGCAATCCCAAATGTGCCTGTTTTTAGAATCTATACAAATAAAATATTTTAAAAATGTAGATGTTCTGCACCAATCTTGTTGCAGGTACTTTTTTAATGCAGCACATAGTTAATTTACCACAGGACTGACTCCCTGCCACTTGGCAGGTACCACTTTACAGCCTTCTGCCTGTATCATTGAATGCTTTCTTCAGTCACAGATGCACATCGGCTAGTTTATATCTACAAATATCTATTTAGAAGAGTTGAGCCTAAAATTCAGATGCCATGTTTTGAATAATAACCTCTGATGACATCAAAGTTTACAAAAAGAATTACAGTGTATTGCTTTCAGAATGTCCAAATTAAGGTTGGATATCTTTATTTACTGACAAATTGAACAAAGTGTTGTATAATTTCAGGAAAAAAATCCCTCTTTGGAAAAGGCTGTCATTTGCAGTACATAATGGCAAAAATATTCAGGTAATCCTGGGATGTCTCAGTGTGCAGCTACATGGCTGGATAGGATAGGATGCTTGTTAAAATTAACGGCATAAGGCAAATCTGCATTCAAATAGGCCGAATTCTGTTAAAAGAAATGGGTTCAGAAACACTCCTCGAAATCGTTGAACACAGTTCACCTTGCCAATTACCAATACATAGCAAGAGGTCCACTACGTCCTTCATTGCAAAAAAATAGGTTCCAAATATTTTTAACCAAATGTCAAAACATATTTTCAGATTTTTAACATTGTTTTTTTTTTCATAAGCTAATTAATTATTTACACGGCCATTAAAACATTTGCTCATCAGTAAAGTGCAGTCCAATTTAAGTATTAATACCAAGCAAAACATTTTTTAAAAACTTCTTTAAAACATGTATTCCAAGTAAACCAACATTAAAGTGCAAATAGTTTGCCTAACAAAAAAAAAAGTAACACTCAGGAAAATAAGTGCTGTTAACTTTATAGTAAATATTTTTTACAAAACAACGCAATGTGACTTAAAATAGTGCAGGCTTTCTCTTCAGTGGGAGAAATTTGAAAACATTTGCAGCTAGCATCTTAAACTTTGGATGCAACAGGGTCAAAGCAATTCTCCAACGTGCATGCAGATGCATATTAGACAGTTGTGATTGAAATTTTGTTATTATTATGTTAAGAGTTTAGAAAGCTGATTCAAAACAGTTTTTAGCAATTAAACAATCATTGTTATGCCCATTAATCTTACACATGATGGAGGTAAAGTGAAAGTGTAGGCCTCTGTTCATTCATCTTTAAACGTGCAAGTTTCACTTTCCACTTTGATACAGTCATCTTCGTTTACACACTGTCACTCTGAAACCATCCAGTCATTATACCACTGGCTAACTGCAAGTTAGTGTCCAAGCTTGTAACTTAGCAACAACCCATGTTAAAGGACCACCAGGACGTAGCAGACCTACATAGCTGCCCATTACGCCTGTTTAAAAGTAAGACACTGTTGCTGGCTGGTGGGAAAAGAAAACAGTCCAAATACAACTGCATAGTCAAATACAAAAATACTTTGAGGTCAAAACCGTAGACAAAGCCTTTTCTAGGTCCAGATTTGGACCGTAGTCAGGGGATTGGGGTCCCTGGTATAATGGTTAATTAGTTCTTATTGAACAGGAAATGCTCCCATATAGATTACATGTGTTTCCGGAAAGCTGAACCTTATCGAGCATCTGTAACGGTAGCATGGCTTCATAGCCAATTGAAAAACTCATTTCTGTCAGAGACATGAAAAACATTTCATATTCAGTTGTACATTATGTATTTGCCTGATTTTCTTTTTGGATTTTTCTTTTTTTGTTTTGGTTGTAAATACTGTAAATAAAGGAAAAAAACAGTTTTCCTGTTTTTGTTCCAGGTAAGCGACTGGTGGGAAGAGTACATCTATTTGAGAGGCCGAGGTCCGATAATGGTCAACAGTAACTACTACGGCATGGTAACCAGCTATTTAATCTGTGTTGCTTCCTACAAAGATGTTATCAGCAAGAAAAAATGTTTGAAAACAATTGGAATTTGAGGGGAGGAATAATTCTACTTCCTGCTCACATAATAATTATTTCCTCATTCTGTTGTTTGAATATTCAAACTTGGATTCTGAGACATGCTTTCAACATGCATAAATGTCTTTATATGCATTTGCTGTCTTAAAGCTTCTCTCATTATATTGTGTGTGTGTGTGTGTATTCTATCCAGGACTTTTTGTATGTTACACCAACCTCAGTGCAGGCGGCCAGAGCTGGAAATACCATCACTGCCCTGCTGCTGTATCGCCGTAAAGTAAACAGGGAGGAGCTCACGCCGGTGAGACTTTTTACATTTCTGCACATCAGAGCTATGACTACAGACAAAAGCCAAGGTCATATTTATATCCGAGTTCCCAGAGGCTCAGCAGGTTTTCTTATAAAGGTGCAAGTTGTGCTATGTCAGGAAAAATGTTACGGAAGAAAAGCAACATCAAAGTTTTATTTCAGTTACAGATGGACAGGATTCCCTCTCTGTGTTTTTTGTGTATTTACGTGTGGATGTGTGTGTGTGTCTGTCCAGAGTCGTGTTCCAGGTACTGTCATACCTCTGTGTGCAGCTCAGTGTGAGAGGATGTTTAACACAACCCGCACACCAGGAGCCGAGACAGGTAATAAACACACAGACACTCATGGCCACACGCACTGCTGTTGCTGTTGTATCACTTTCTTGTTCTTCAAAAATCCCCCAACACAGAAAAATCCAAAGCGCCTTTAAAGTCCATTTAAGTGAGGGAGAAAATAACAAATCATAAAGCTTATCGTCTGTTTGGCTTTCAAGATGGTGGCCAGGTGACACACGATAAACCAATTATTTGCTGCTTGTTCAGATATGTCATTTCCCTTTTCATTTCTGAAATAAAACCATGTCCTGTGACCTTTGACTCGCTAAAATGGAACCCAGTGTAGGTTTCCGTTTGAGTCCATATTACCGAGGCATGTGCTACGGAGGTTAACGCCTCCGGTTTCAGTTCTGATAAAATTTTCAAGGACTAAGCTGGCTCTCTGACCCTTGGTGTTTGTGCGTTTTAATGTAAAATTGATAAAGTTGATATCAGATGACCAATCCTGGTTTTTATTTTGAGGTTGCTGGACCCCAAAACAACTAATGCAGCCCAAGCACTAAGGAAAACTGTCACTATAATATTCTCATCAAAATAAATGGTAAGAGGGAAAGGAGAATGGAGACCTTAACTTAAAACTGATGAAGAGGCATTACCATTACGTCTAGTAGATAACAGCACATATACATATTTTTTTAGGTGATTCAATAGTTCTAAGTGGTTCAGTCAACAGGAATAACCTTTAGGGGATGCCGTGTTTGCCTGCTGCCCTGCTCATGCTACACCCAATCTCTCCTCCTTGTGGTGGTTCAATGTGGAAGGAGTTTCCGGTTTGTTTTTCCGGCTAACCCTCATTGAGCCCCAGTGGCCGATGCTCCCAAACCACTGGAACCATCTCCCTGGAGGTGCCCTGTTTTCACTTTGTACAGGAAAGGTTGCTGTATTCCCCTGGCACTGCCCCATTGAGGTTTGGAACTTATTTCGACTTCCACTCCTGGAGAGGCTAACATGTATCTCTCTGTGGACACCAAATGGATTGTAAATTTACTGATGACCATTTCTAGTTGGTTCATTGCTGATATCGTATCATTTAAACAGCTAAATTTACACCAGAAAGAATAACATTCTTTTGACATACTGACACACTGTTTGTGTAAATATGTGTGAAGTAAGTAAACATATCATTTAAGATGTTCAATATAGTGGATTGTATATCCCCAATTTTACAATCTGAAAATAAGTACAAGACTAATTTCTTTCTATCCTGATAATTTAGTATTCTTTCCTTTCTCACTGCTGATAATGGCATCAGCGAATGCACTGTGGTGGGATTATTATCTAGCTAGGAAAATAAACGACAGATGAAAATAGGGTTGCTAAGACTAAGATGAACGAGTGATGACTGTGGGCTCACTCTCTCCCTCACAGATGTGCTACAGCACTGGCAGGACAGCGAGTTTGTGGCTGTGTACCACAGGGGGCGTTATTTCCGTTTGTGGGTTTACCAGGCAGGCCGGCTGCTCACTCCCAGAGAGATCGAATACCAGATCCAGAGGATCCTGGATGACCCTTCACCTCCGTTTCCTGGAGAGGAAAAACTTGGAGCGCTAACTGCTGGAGACAGGTAGCACCATAGCTGTATTTTTTTTGGTGTATTTTTACAGACATTCTTACTTAAGTATTTTTAACCAGAATAATCCAATGTTATTCTTGATGAATTATTACTTTAACTGATCAATCTGATGAACCAGTGGGCCTGTTTACCTTCTGTAACATCTGTTTTTAATCCATAAGAACCCAGCGTGACAGTGATATAACAACACTAAATTAAAATCACTATCGAATATTTCCATTGTAACCTTTAAAACATGACAGACCATTTATGAATGGTGGAGGTACTTGATTTTTGTTTTCTTTTTAGTAAGTATATTAACTTACTAATTCATTTAGTATATTTTTTATTTTGTGTTACACACATACACACACACACACACACACTGAGGCCATGGCATGGCTGGCCTCCAAGACTCAAACTTCTGTGAGATCTGTGAGAAGAGAGATGTTTTTGGCTGGTTCCTCTCTCCCACAACGGAAAAGTTTCCTCTGTGTTGTTTATTTTGATATGCACTTCTCTCTGTCTTTAACTGCACCTTTGCTTATAAATAAAAGGGATTTGGACATGCAAGATATTTACTTTCATTTGAGCAATGTCAAATTAAGCTATTATAGTATTTAATGTGTCATCTTACTTGTAAACTGACTTCTGTTCAGAACCGTGTGATCCATTTAAAGAGCTGAACAAGTCTGCGAGTGTACACTTTGTTTATGTTATTAAAATGTCAACCTTTAAGTATCTTTCTGTCTTTCCCAGGATTCCTTGGGCCCAAATAAGGAAGCAGTACTTCAGCTGTGGCCTCAACAAGCGATCGTTGGATATCATTGAGAGGGCTGCATTCTTTGTTACTTTGGATGATGAGGAGCAAGGCATGAGGGGTGGCGATCCTGCAGGAAACTTGGACCGCTATGCCAAATCCCTGCTCCATGGGAAATGTTATGATCGGTAAGCAACGTGGAATTTGTTTTAATTTGTCTAACGTGGCTATTTTTTTATTGAAATGTAATCAGAGGCATTGTTCTTCAAAAGCATCAGCTAGCACTGCAATAGTTGCTACATTTACATTGATTATAGGTACCTAAGCAGTGACCATTTGACAATTTGTAGTGTGGGATATGAGGCTTTTAGTAAACAGAACTGATATTTGAAATCACACAGCAGTGATTAGTCACCTCAAAGCAAAAGGGTTCTTGTTTGGAATTTATGCGTGGGTTCTTTCCCCCACAGTACCCCCACTCCCCACAATCCAAAAATTTGCATGTTTGATTATTTGGTGACTCTAAGTTGCCTGTAGGAGTGACTGTACATGGTTGGCTGTGTCATTCATCTCTGTGTGGGCCTGTGATGGGATGTTTACACTGTCTCTGACCCAATGACAGCTGAGTTATAGTGCCATATTGATGTTATGGAGCCTACCTATTCCAGAATTTTAATGATCAGTGCTGTACCTGTATATATCCTTAGTTGCCTAGTCGGCTCTCCTGGCATTGTTTTTTGTTATTATAAACTAACCTGAGTTGCCTCTTGTAAATTTGCTCATAGATAGCTTTACTTCTTGGTTCTTCATTGCAATTCTCTTTCATTTTTAAGGTGGTTTGACAAGTCTTTTTCCATTGTGATCTACAAGAATGGGAAGAACGGGCTGAATGCTGAACATTCCTGGGCAGATGCACCAACAGTGGCTCACTTGTGGGAGGTTTGTGTTTAATAGTATTTATTAGCAGTACTTTGTCAGAGGTTATTTTCACATGACATGGCTGTGTTTACAGAGATGCTGCTATCCACTCTTTAAAGAAAATAAATAAATAAAATAAAAAAACATAAAACTGTTAGGTGGATTTTTCATGTCAGTAGCAGAGTCTACTGTGCTCAAAAGTAGACGCTTGGCCGCATTACTTTTTTAATCATCATGATGGGGTCAACGTTTACAGCAAAAGATGATTTAACATACACTTAAGCTGACTTAAGTTAGGAAGTCAGTTCCTGGAGTGAATATTTCCGGACCAACTTATTTTAACTTGATTGGGAAAGGGGAAGTTTCTCCTTCGTGTGTTCTCTGACAGGAAATGTTGACAAATACAAATGACCAAGAACTCTTAAGAAGAGGTGAAGTGCCCTGGAAGTCAACAGTATCTGCATGATGACATCATAGGAAATCCCTCTGGCTCCTCTCCATTGAAAGAAAGCAAATGGAAGCACTCTATCTTCCACTAACAGCTATATCTGAATCACAGACTGATGTTAATCATATTTCGTCCATGGAAACTTATTAAATATCTCTAAATAGTCTGCCTGCTTCCTTTCATAGCTATTCTCCTGGTTGTGCTGCTTCCAGACATGCATTTTCATATAAAAACATTTAACCAATCACATTTCAGACATCCTTTGTCGCTAGGCAGGGTCAGAGTCAAAGATGTCTGCCTGGAGGCCTTCACAATCCGTTCTGCAGCCCCCCCCCCCCCACAGAAAATACATGTCGAGTACACTGTTGCTTCAACCAATCAGATTTTAGGTTGGTGATGCCGGGGCCTGCTCGAAGGCCCAGGAAATGTCACCGTTTCAACACCCACTGATTGGATAGTCAGATATCCAAAGCTAGCAAACAAACCAAAATATAGTTGTGTTGGTGTAATGGCAATTTTATGATTTGGTGGCGGATTTACTGTCAGGACCATTTTCAAAACGGACTTTTCAAGAAAATTAAGTGAGTAAAATGTTGTTTTTTTCCTAAATAATATCGCGAGTTTATGAGGATATTGTTGATGTATTTTTATTTTATTTTATTTATTTTTTTGGGGGGGGGGGTCGCAGCTGTAGCTGCAGGAGTAGAGGACTTGTGCACCCCTGATCTTTAGACTGTATTTTAGGCTTGTCCCGATCCGATATTTAGATCGTATCGGCCGGCATGAGAAACTGCCGATCCAGACTCCAGATCCATTTAAAAAAAAAAAAGTCCGATCCCACACGAGCATTATTATTAGCATTAGCATCTCCTAACCCACAGGTCTGTGCCCTAAACTTTAGTTGTTATAAGAGTAAATCCCTGTTCAACATGAGTCTGACAACTAAGTAAGAAGATAAATAATTTTCAACTTTAATACAAAAAGCTGGATCGGGACATCCCTACTGTATTTCTACATGATAAGATGATTTCTATAACCATAAAATAGTTATTGAGGGGTGACTTGATTCAGACGGAGCACTACTGAAGGCCTAGGTGTGAAATGCACGGTCCGCCACTGATATACATATATATATATATATATATATATATATATATATATATGCTTTTATGCACAAACATTACATGCAAATGAGATCATAAGTGAGGATGCTCACCTTTAGTAGCTATTCAAACCCCTTTGTGTCAACGTTTTTGCATGTTATTAGGCCAAAATCACCTGGGTATGTAAACTTTTGATCAGGATAATTTGAATGTTTCTTGTTGTCATTATGATTGTAAAATAGAAAACACAGTTGTTTAGGAAAAAATGACTTGACCCAATTACTAACCTCGAGTGAACAAAACCGTTTGAGTTATCATTCACATTCTCTGTAAAACGGCAAAGAAAGCAAAAATTCTGCTGGAATATGTGAATTTATGAGCACAGCTGTATATGCATCTAGGCAGAAATCTACATATGTATTCAGTCTGAGAAGCCGACATGCATTTTGAGCCGTGATGCAATATTATGGAAAAATGAAACCCAAGATTTTAAAAGGAGACCGTTAGCAAAATCATGGAAGGATTTTAAAACCAGATGTGATTGGTCAAATTAATTTCGGATTTTAAACCCAGATGTGATTGCTCAAATGATTTTTTCTGAAATGCAATATTTAGAAATTATTTATTTATTTATGTCCTTATTTTTTTCTATATTACAGCACTTGTTTGATTGGGAGATATAAAAAAAAAAGCCCTTTCCAGCATTTATTAAAAATGAAAGAAAAGCTTAAAAGCATTTGTTTTTTCAGTCTGTGTGAACTCCTGTAGGCTATGTTGCTATTCTACCTTTTACATGAAATAACACATTATGTGAGTTGTATTCTAAAATACACTAAACACTGACTACTCAATGAGCTTTGACATAAAGAAAAAGTATAATATTTTTTCCCATCTGTTGATAATTCTGTTGTAGCAGCATGTCACTTGCTATTTGTCGATTTTGTATTTATGTATTATTCATTTTTCGACTGACAGTACAAATTGTGTAGACAGCACCTCTAAATTTCCCTGTGCCTTTTTGGTGTTGACTCATGTTTTATGATCCACAGCAGTGATATAAAATAGTTGTAGAAATTGAATTTACTCTATGCATTATAATGTGGATGGTTCTGTTTTTCCAGTACACTTTAGCAACAGATGCCTTCCAGCTGGGCTACACTGAGGATGGTCACTGCAAGGGTGAGGTAGAGAGCTCACTGCTTCCCCCTCAGAGACTTGTGTGGGACATTCCATCAGAGGTATGAACACCATGTATTAATACACTTGGGTATTTTTGTTACCCTTTAAGGACCTTTTCATATTTATTTATTTTTACTAAATAGGGACCAGTTTGGGCAAAGGTTTGTTATTAAAAGGGCAAAAGTCCATGTCTGTGTTCAAACTTTCCCAGCTCAGCATCTGAATACAGAAAAATGTCATAATTGGGACACACGCTCACAACTCTGGGTCACATGCCCAATCATGTTTAGGCAAGACACTGAACCAGCAGTGATCAATCAGCGAATTAATGTGTGTGCGTGTATAGAAAGCTCTTCTAGCTGTTAGAGACAGAATTGCATTAGTGCTTACGCAAACTGCTTGGTTGTTAAATGGGTAAGTTTACATCACAGATGAAGAGATAGTAAGGAAAAGGAAAGAGGTGAAGGAAATATCCTGGGTACTGGGTGCTATCAAAAATCTAAATGGGCAATCTTGCCAACTTTAATGCAGCTGATTAACATTAAATACCAACATAGATCCTCAGGCCCTCTGGGAGCAGCAGTTTCAAAAAAGCTTTATTTGCAAAATAATATTTCTTTTTTAAACTGTTGTTCTTTGGCACAGTGCTCTATCATGTTTCAAAAAGCATGGTTCTTCATCTCCTCTTTTCATGTTGGGACAATTTTTAGCCAACTCCCTGGATGAGCAGCTTTTACTGCACACAAATGGTACCAGGATATTTTTACTTTTTCCTGATGGTAGCTCTCACCTTCTCTTCTCTGGATAGTTGAAGTGGTATCCTTAGAGGAAATAACTTTACATCATCCTGTCAATTGTTAACTTTTTTTTAATTAAAAGGAAGTAGTAATGAATGGCAAAACCCAATTTGAACACGTGTGAGATTACTTTCCCGGTCTGAACTTAAAGGTGTATCAAAAGATCCGCTGTAAAACTGAGCATGTGTGTATTCATGCATTCATAAATGTAAGATGCATCAAAACAATACATTGCAAAGGCTTTAACCACACTCAAAATATCCCCTAAGAAGATATTCCCCTATTTGTATGAAATTAGATTTTACGGGCGATTCAATTTCACCATTAGCCTAACAGGCATGTCTTTGGATTGTGGGTGGAAACTGGAGAGAGTGTATGCCCACAAATTCGGATAAGATAAATGGGGAAAACAAGGCCCACCAAAAGTTTGTGACTCATCTGTTTAATGGATGTCAATCAGTGTGTGGGACAATTGTGATTGTGACCATGTGATTTCACATGAGGAAATTCCCCTTGAAGCCCCCTATATGTAAGGCTGATGCAAAACTCTGGAGAATAAAATGGGAAAACCAAAATAGATTCTAGCGCCACCTTCTCTTTCCCCCTACAGAAGTGAAAGTAAAATGCAGAATTCGAAGCAGACACACATAGCAGACATCTGCAAAGTGAATTAAATGACAGTGTATTTCAAAATGAGCAATTAGTGTGCTTTTAGAAAATATTTGCCTTTTTAAGAAGGGCCAAATACCAAAGCGTCTTGTCTCATTACACTTTACTCCTTTTGGCACTTAGTTGGCTCCACAATCAGGAAAAGTCTTAGCCTAATACTTTCCAGATTGTGTTAGGCTCTGAAACCTAGATTAAATCTGTCGAAGTCACAACAGCTATGTTTGTTATCTCTTTCTGTATTTAGACAGTGGGCTGCGGCTAGATAACAATAGGTTTCCTTCCAGCACAGTTTAACTGAATCTCCCATTTCCATTTCATGTTAGCTTTTTAAAACTAGATTTACTATGCATGTCTTTTCAGTACCTTACCTTCAAATGTTTTTTACTCAAAAAGTATTGAGTCAAGCTGTCTCTGGAATATGAGGGTGAATGTTTGCAGTTACAGTATGTACTTTCAAGATCACATGCTTGTTAGTGAGTCTGTGCATGATGGGAAAATGGATACAGATGCAAGTTTTTCCATCCCACTATGGTGGACTACTCTTCACTGGCATTTTCTGTCTAATTTTTCTGTCAGCACAAATGGGAGGTCTATTAAAATCTAACATCCAGATAATTTTTCTGTAAGAGTTTCACTTATATTTCCCTACTAAAGTCCAACTTATTTAATCCTTTCGACTTCTGCACTGAGCAAAAAGTACGTTTTTTTTTCTTCTTTCTTGCTTTTTTCTTTTCTTGTCTTTATTTGATTATTTTTTTCTTTTCTTTTTTTTCTTCCTTTCTTTTCTTTTTGGCACAGTGCTCCATCATGTCCCTGGAGCAATAATAAACTTAAATCAGCACTTCCGGTTGTTTTTCTGGATGCCTGAAGTGAAAAGTTGTGGTTATTGTAGAAATTTTGAGTTTGCAATATTATTGCACGTACTTCATTGTAGCAAGATGGCTCTAAACCAGATTATAGAGATAGTCGGTAAAAACATGCAGTCCCAAACAGTTGAGCGGGCGGCATTCTTGTCACAGCATATTATAGAGAAATGGCTGATAATTGAAAGTTGCCACTCCATTTGTGAGCCTTTCAGTGCTGATAAGATATTTGGCAGCTGCTGGTGATGCTTTCTCCATCCAACAGCTTATTTTTACTAAAATGACACATTCAATAGGAAAACACTACAGTGCCCTCCACAATTATTGCCCCCCCTGTTAAGATGTGGTCGAGGACTCCAAAAATTCACCTTTTTTTAAAAACAACATAGAACCCAAATGCAAAAAAAGAGAAAATTCCAACCTTTTATTTAAGTACACCACTTTGGTGGTAAAAATAAAATCACACATTTAGAAAAATAAAAAACATGAAATCATGTGCACCCTGATGTTAATACTTTGAACAACCCCCTTTTGCAAACAAGACAGCACTAAGTCTCCTCCTATAACATTTCACAAGATTGGAGAACAGAGAGAGAGAGGTCTTTGAACATTTTTCTCTGCACAATTTTTCTAGATCATCCAGTGTCCTGGGACCTCTTTCATGTACTCTCCTCTTTAGCTCGCCCCACAGGTTTTCAATTGGGTTGAGGTCTGGGGACTAAGATGGGCTTGGGAGGACCTTGAGTTTGTGACAGCTGAACCATTTTTGTGTAGATTTAACCTCATGTTTTGGATCATTATTCCGCCGGGTAGACCCAATGACGGCCCATCTTCAGCTTTCTGGCAGAGTCCATCGGGCTTTTATTTAAAATGTCCTGTTATTTCAAAGCGGTCATAATGCCATGCACCCTAACAAGGTTCCCAGGGCCTTTGGAAGAAAAACAGGCTCACAGCATCACAGATCCTCCACCATACTTTACCGTGGGCTTGAGGTGCTTTTCGACATCCTCTTTTGTTTTACGCCAGACCTACTTAGAGTGTTAGTTGCCAAAAAGCTCAATCTTGGTCTCATTTGACCAAAGCACACCATCCCAGTTGAAGTCCCAGTGTTGCTTAGCAAATTCCAGACATTCACGTTTGTGTTAGTGAGAAAAAACCCTTTTTCTTGCATGCCTCCCAAACAGCTTGTTGGCATGTAGAGAGCATCTGATGGTTTGGGAGAATTTGTGACCCCAAGATTCCACTCTTTGATGCAATTCTGTTACAGCGAGCTTAGGACTTGTTTTTACTACTCTTACCATCCAACTCACTGTGCGTTGTGGCAAGATAAACTTGGGACCTCTTCCAGCCTTGTTTGTCACTGTTCCAGTTGTTTTAAACTTCTTAATGATTCCTCTGACTGTACATACGTGGGCAAGTTAAGGCAAGTGGCTATTTTCTCTGTAGCCATTGCCTGACTTATGAAGGTCGACACACATCTGCCTTACTTAAATGGTATATTCTCTTGTCTTTGCCATGTTGACAAATGGGTAAGAGAATTAGGCCTCTGTGTCACGTCATATTTATTCTCCAGGGAAACAGGAAGTCATGACTTATTAACTAAAAGTTCCTATATACCATGACCAACTTTAGCAACTACAGAAAAATAAATTTAAAGGAAATTAATCACATTTTTCAGTGGAATTCTTATTTTTGTTTTATTTATTTACTTATTTATTTATTTTTTGCTCTTACTGTTTTTTTTTATTTTTTATTATTATCTTTGAGTTTGTCTTGTGTTGTGGTGATGATTGTGTTTTATGATCTGCTCAAATGACCTGTACAGCGCTTTGATTTTAGCTTTGGCTGACTGAAAGCGCTTTATAAATAAAGTTGAGTTGAGTTGAGTTGGAATTGTTAGGGATGCTAATAAATGTGGAACACATGATTTCACGCTTTTTATTTTCTACATTTATGATTTTATTTTTTACAACAAATGTAATGTACTTGAATAAAAGGTTGGATTTTTCTTGTTTTAATTTAATTTGGGTTCTGTTAAAAAAAAAAAGGACAATTTTTGGAAGTCCTCAATTACATCCTAAACAGGGGTGCCAATAATTCTGGAGGGCACTGTAAGTTTTTTATGTGTAAAAGCACTTTGTTACTGTTTGAAAGGCACTTTATAAATAAATTGAATTGAAATTGACGAACACAATACACAATAAGTAGGAAGACTATTGTTCTCTTGCCCTAGCATGTTGTCTCGATCAGAATTTTCATTTGCCTCCTATTTGTTTTCAGATACACACAAATATATATTTATTTATGTGCGTGTGTTAGGTCCAGGCCCAGGTCTGCAGCTCCCTTGCTGTCGCCCAGGCACTTGCTGATGACGTGGACTGCCACGTTTTCCCCTTCAGAGACTTCGGGAAGGGGCGGATTAAGAAGTGTCGAATCAGCCCAGACGCATTCATCCAGATCAGCTTGCAGCTGGCGTACTACAGGGTAATGGTTCCCAAAAGTCCGCTACAATTTGTTCAGTCCCATTACTCTTTCTGAGCACTCGGCCCAGCCTTTGTCCAACAACAGCGGCATGATTTTTCAACCAACATTTATTTCACAATACTCATAAATTTGAATGACCAAATTCAATAGAATCACACTTTAACATACCAAGTTTATAAATTCCATCTCGGATCATATTGTGTTCATGGCAAATATCATTTAAAAACAACAGCCCATAAAGATGACAATTGATTATATTTATATAAAGCAGTGTTGAGTCTTGCTACATCAAACCTAAAATCTAATCATTCTGTCTATATGCTTGATGTCATTCTCATTCTACTTTTTAAACATTTATGTAGCCACAGCTAGACCTGGAGTATAAGAGCAAAGTGCTCTGATGGGAAATTTATTCAACTGCAACATCTTTAAGATATGTTTATGTTTATGCATTTGGCAGACGCTTTTATCCAAAGCGACTTACAGAGTAGACACAATATTACATTTCTCATCACTATGACAATAAGATATATAGAGGAGAAACACTGATCAGAGTCAGTGGTGACAGCAAGAGATAGAGGTAGAGGGACTACAGAAGGAGCTGTGGGGGGGTAGAGGTACGGGTTAGGGTTAGGATAGGAGATACTCTTTGAAGAGGTGGGTCTTCAAGAGTTTCTTGAAGACAGACAGGGACTCTGCTGTTGTGGTGCTTGGTAGGTCATTCCACCATCTTGGAACGACACATGCAAACAGTCTGGATTGTCTTAAGCGTGGTGAAGGCACTGCTAGACGTCAATCCATTGATGACCGGAGTGATCGAGTTGTGACATAAGCCTTTGCAAGGGGATTCAAGTAGATGGGAGCCGTACCCTTAAGCACTTTGTAGGCTAGCATCAGGGACTTGAATTTGATACGGGCAGCCAGAGGTAACCAGTGGAGTTCAATGAACAGAGGGGTGACGTGAGATTTTTTGGGCTGATTGAAGACCAGACGCGCCGCCGCGTTCTGGATCATTTGTAAAGGTTTTACTGTACAGGCTGGGAGACCAGTCAGGAGTGCGTTGCAATAGTCTAGGCGGGAGATGACCATAGACTGCACCAGGAGCTGGGTAGCATGTTGTGTTAGGTACGGCCGGATCTTTCTTATGTTTAGTAATGCGAAGCGACAGGATCGAGAAACAGAGGCAACATGATCTTTAAAGGTCAGCTGGTCATCAATCATAACACCCAAGTTTCTTGCTGCCTTTGATGGAGTCAGAGAGAGGGATTCAGTTTGGATGTGAATATTGTGGTGAATAGTTGGTTTGGCTGGAAAGACAAGCAGTTCAGTTTTTGAGAGACTCAGCTGGAGGTGGTGGGCTTTCATCCATTTTGATATGTCAGAGAGACAGTCTGAGATGCGTGCTGAGACCGAGTGGTCATCAGGTGGGAATGACAGATAGAGCTGTGTATCATCAGCATAGCAGTGGTAGGAGAAACCATGTGATTGAATGATCTGGGCCAAAGAAGTGGTATATATAGCAAAGAGAAGAGGTCCAAGTACTGAACCTTAAGGAACCCCTGTGGCGAGGTGGTGCGCTGCAGAAGTGTGACCAAGCCAGGATACTTTAAATGATCGACCAGTGAGGTACGATTCAAACCAGGAGTGTGCTCTCCCTGTGATGCCCATACTCGAGAGTATAGACAGAAGGATGTCATGATTGACTGTGTCAAATGCGGCTGATAAGTCAAGAAGGATAAGTACTGAGGACTTGGCATTTGCTCTTGCCTCTTTTAGGGCTTCTGTCACAGACAACAGAGCCGTTTCAGTGGAGTGGCCACTTTTAAACCCAGATTGATAACTGAGTATCATCAGCCTAACAGTGGAAATGTATGCCATGCTGTCACATAATGTTAATCAATGGAAGGGTCTATAAACCAAAAAGAATGTGTAGAAGCAATGAACCCTGATGAACTGAAAGACTTCTCTTACTAATTAAGGAAGATTCTTCATATACATTTACAAACTGGAATCTTTCAGATAAATAGGACTGAAAGCAAGCTAATGCAGTCCCTTTATTTCTAATAATGTGTTTGAATTTCTGTTATTGAATGCTGTGATCTATTCTGTTTCTTTGCTAAACCTGTCGTTGATGCCATCCAACCTCAGCTAAGTGGAGGACCATGGACAAATGGCTCTGCTTGTCTTATTGCCAAATGAGCATGTTTGCATTTTTCTCTTCCCATCACCCCCCCCCCCCCCCAATAAAACTTAATATCCACTTCCTCCTGGTTCTGTTATTTCCAGGATCGTGGCGGTTTCTGTCTGACTTATGAGGCATCAATGACCCGTCTGTTTCGGGAGGGCCGAACTGAGACTGTGAGGTCCTGCTCCAGCGAGAGCTCCGCCTTCGTCAAGGCCCTAGAGGACGGAGAGGTAACGCTGCGTTTTGAATAAGGTTCACCCGAGCTTCTCAATTTGTTGGGTAGTTTGTACATTGTAGACTCCTCCAAAATCTCTATGTCCTAACTTGTTCTAAATGTAAAGTTTGTAGATGACTTATTTTATTGTAGGGATTTAATCAATATTTGATGTGGTTGGACAGACAGAGGAGCAGTGCAGGCGCCTCTTCCGACTGGCCTCGGAGAAGCACCAGAACCTTTATCGAATGGCCATGACCGGAGCTGGAATAGACCGACACCTCTTCTGTCTCTATGTAGTCTCCAAGTACCTGGGGGTGGAGTCTCCTTTCCTCAAAGAGGTAAGTTTTCAGCAGTGGTGGAGAAAGTACTCATACAATGTACTTAAGTAAAAGTATAAATACACAGACAAAAATTTACTCAAGTAAAAGTCAAAGTACCACATTATTATTTTACTTATGTAAAAGTAAGAAAGTACAAGCTTTTAAAACTACTTAAGTATTAAAAGTAAAAGTACTTGCCAACCATAATACCTAACGGCTTATATAATGTCATTAAGTGTACCTATCGTATTTAGTTTTAATAAATCAGTAATGTTCCGTTTTAATGAGCAATGCTGCAGATAAAGCATGTTTTTATTGTGTTTACCCCCTGTGACAGTTTAGATTTAGATATTTTATTCTATGCATCAGTATTCCAGGGATGACCTTCTAATTTATTGAATATGACTGTAACTGTTACATGGAGATTATTTTAATTGCGCTAACATTTATTTAATAACCAGGACGTGAAGGAGTTTAGCGTCAACTTAGATGTAACATTCATGGTGGGAGACGTGATCACGACTGCAGTAATCACTGTTACTTGCAAGTTCATGCTAGCTTATAAAAATATACAGTAATCGTATTTATTTACTGCAGTCGAGTTCAACAAAAAGCTTGCTAAGATTACATAAAACTTTTTTAAATAAGGCCATGGGTGGGGCAGGTGTTCTGGAGGATGACTATCCTTGGACTCCATTCTGGGAGTTAATGATTCGGCAGGTCCTGCGTACTGTGCTGCTCTTGGGGAGGGCCTAATGGTTATTTCCCGCTTTGGATTGGTTCAGCGGACTGATTCTGCTCTCGCCATTGGATACTTTCAAACTAACGAACAAATAAAAAAAAAACGAAATGCGTCTTGGATGTAACGAAACGCTGTATAGAAATGTAGTGAACTAGAAAGAACAGATACTTACTGTTAAATGTAGTGGAGTAAAAGTAGAAAGTATCCATTATTAAATCTACTTAAGTAAAGTACAGATACACGGAAATTGTACTTAACGAAGTACTTGTACTTCGTTACTTCCCACCACTGGTTTTCAGTTCCTTTCTCACCAGGTGCCACACAGCTTGTGGACTGCTTTCTACTCCCTTGAGTAAAAACATTTCAGCTTGGAGCTGAATTCTAATTCTAAGTCTACTTTCATACCGGTGGTCAAACTGAGAGCTTAAAGAAAGCAGAGCTTTGCACAGCTTTGATTGTGTTATCGGTTTTCTTATTTTTGTTGAAACAACATCTTTATACAGTCCTACTCTTTCACCATTCATAATGACATTTATGTCATACTATTGATAATGTAATATTAAAAAAAGAACATTTAAATAAACGCGTAACTCATTCTAAACCTAGGTCAGACCACCAGTGGCAATTACGAATAAACTGCTAAAAAGGAGAGAAAAGAGTACTAAATGAATAGTGATACTTCTAACAGAGCTGAAGATGAACAGGATCATAAATCTTATCTGTCTTATTAGTTTTTTCTTTAACTTTCTTCTTCATTGGGATTTTTTTTGTTTTTGTTTGTAATGCCAAAGTTTGAAAGTCCACTTTTACAAAAACTCATCTGCACCGAGGCTGAAGCTGTACAAACTATGTTGGCTTTAATATTGTCACCTTTTTTTTTCCTCTTCTCTTTTCTCTCCAGGTTCTGTCTGAGCCATGGCGCCTCTCCACCAGTCAGACCCCAGTTCAGCAGATGGAGCTGTTTGATTTGAAGAACAATCCAGAGTTCATATCACTCGGTGGTGGCTTTGGACCTGTAAGTAGCGCTGCCAATTTATTTGACTTAATAAAGGGCTGTAGGGGCTCCAACACTAATCTGATTATGTCTGACCTGTCAGGTGGCGGATGACGGTTATGGAGTTTCGTACATCATTGTGGGCGAAGATATGATTAACTTCCATGTGTCCTCCAAATACTCCTGCAGTGAGACTGTAAGTACAACAATTCTTCCTGTTTAAAGAGAAATTTGGTGGAGATTATACAACCACTCATCCATCCTACTGCTTGAAAAAACTGAGCTCTTTCCAACTCTGCATGCCAAGCTGCACTACTTGTTTGACTGGAACATGAGTGAATTTGGTCTCTGTTATGGATGTTTTCCTACATAAACGGGTAGCATGACCAATTTTGCCCAAGCGCTGGTAGCCTTTGGCCCAAAAACAAACATGGCTCTATAAAGTTTAGAGGTATTTTATATACAGTTGTTGTAAAATGTTTTAGGAAGTTTAAACATTTTTTAAATCAAATACTACATTCTCAAAACCATTGACCATAAATAGCAGAAAATTCATTACAGCATAGTCCTTTTTTACACCAAAACTCAACCCTTTTTCTTTCTTTCTGTCTTCTTAAGCCCTCACACTTCAAAATATATTCAAAGAAATATAAAAATGTAGAAAAACAGTTTTATAAGAATGTACACTATGCATGATAAGTGCACAATAAGGGGATATTGTTAACTAGAAAATTTCTAAAGAAATTTTGAAGGGGGCCACCTACTGCCCATTCCTGGAACCTGGGCTGGCTTTATGGGGCCCTCAAAAGCGGCCTGGGAGCCTCTGGAGAGATCACAGGACTGACATTTGGCCTGAAGGAGAGAAACAGAGCACGGCCATTGGGCGACACAGAGCTGGAGGGACCTGGCTGAGCTCTTGGGCCCGCTGACCGAATGCACTTGAGGAGAAGCAGATCAGGGGTCACAAAAGCTGAAAGCTGAGAAATAGATATACATAACGTTGTATAACATCCCTGGGGTGACCAAAATGGGGAGACGCAGCAGATCTTGTTTGGTTTGGACATGGGGAGACCACAGCTGAGCTGAAAAAAAAGACATTTTAGATTGAGCAATGGCTCTCTGGTAATAAAGTCCTTATAACGTGGCCATGTTATGTGCTTTGGACAGAGGGACACCAGGGTCCATCAGAAAAAAAAGACGTTTTAAATTGCACAATGCATTTTGGAGTTTTGTCAATGAATGATCTTGCCCATAACACGATAATATTTAGCTTGCACGGGACGTCCAAAGATAAATAAGACACACAACTACGTCCCCGAAAATCAGTTGGTTAAAGATATATCTTCTAAAATATAACCTCTGTATATTAAAAAATAAATAAAATAAAGTAATTTTGGATGGAAGTCGATCTTACGCCACCAAGTCTAATAGAACAAACGATAGCATTGTAAACAAGCAGTGACGAAGCTTCTTGATAACGTACAAAAACGCGATTTACATTTAAAAATAATGACAGTACATCCACGCTTTCAACAGTTAATAGTCAGTCAACAACGGAAACAATGTTCTCAGAAGCCGTTTGCTCATTAAAAAAATGTTCTGGACTTCGTCAGCCTGTTAATTATCATTATCAGAACCTGTTTGCTAGTTAGATCACTTGTTGGGGACCAGAACCAGATACTGATTAAAGCACTGGAAGCGGTCCAGCACCACTTAACATGTACAGGACTTCCTGGTTTGAGGAGGAAGCATTCTGGGTAGCGGAGCTCTAGCTCAGCTGTGGTTCAGCTGTGGAGCTGAGTCACGTGTTTTCTGTGAATCATGTTCTGCTGCTTGAAATGGTATATCATGTCATCAGTGTGTGAGGGTCAAAATGATTAGTTTAAACTTTTAGGCAATTTAATTCTGGTTATAACACACAGAACGCATAGTACAGCAAGATCAACATGTTTTTGCATTTATGTTTATGCATTTACGCATCAGGCTCAGATGAGCTGTTGTAGTATCGGTTTCCATTTTAAAGTGAACATAATCTCGGACTTGCTAGCTCTTGTCTAATCGCAGAAGTCCAATTATTCATAAATGCCTTTATAATGACTTTATAGTTTCACCCTGAAGAACAGTGGTTCCCACGGTGAAAAAAAGAAAAGACCGTTTTTTTCACCAACAGTGTTTTACACCCTTTCATTAAGGTGACTCAGATCCCCTCCACGTCTCCTGTGAAGAGGGTGTGTAAATGGCTACTACCTGCAGCCTTGCACTTGTCTGCAGCTTTTTTCATCACGGCTTTCAGCAGCCATCCTTTCCATGTACAGTATATATGGGTGTTATCTCCCTGTTCTTGAGATTCCAATCACATGCACATACTTGTAGAAACACTGAACACTTCTATCAAACCAGAAACAAATATAAAAAAAGACACAGAATTGTGTTGTAAGTGATGCAGAAAAGAAAAGTTGCATGAAGTGTGATATGCCCGCTCAGACTAAGTTCACTAAAAAAAAAAATTAATATATGTAACCAATTTTACATATTTATAAGGATTATTTTCATTAGCAGCATGGTAGGCATGTCAACATCCCAGATTCAAATTAAACTCTGTTGCTCAATGTGTATTCTTTACTCACTAACAATCCAAACTGTGTGGATCACATTGAGGAAATTTTTGAATAAATGGTTTAGTTAAAAATCTACACCTCTACATCCACCTCTCAGAGATTGCAAAGCCATGTTGTCCCAGGGCTGAAGCTTTCTTTCTCCCTCTAAATACCTGAAGATCAAGATCTATAGCCTTTTGTTTTTCTTTTTTTTTCGCCAGCCTTTTACTGAGTGCATTCAACATACATCAGTTTACACTATAGCTCCAGTAGAGCTTTATAAAGGATTTCCTATTCATTTACAAGGTGAAGGGTGGATCCAGGAATGTTGTTTTGCTACATTTTGGAAAGAGGGACACCAACAGACCTTGGTGTAGGTGTAACTTATTAATGCAGTTTTCTTTGCTAACGCTGCAAAATCAAACAAGGGCTTGCCATTTCAGCAATCCCACCCCGACCAGCAAAGTCTTTAGGTATTTTTTGGTCACTCGGATAATTTAGTTCCTTATTCTTTAGATGTGAGTATCATGTTTACAGGAAACGTATTGTTTAGGCTAGGCTTTTCGTGTTCTCTCTATTTGCGAAGTTCTTCTTTAAATTTGTGATTATGGTTTTGTTCTTATGCTCAATTCCCACTGTTTGTCTTTTCATCTCTGTCTCCAATGAGCAGTCTTATCTTGCTTAAAAAGTTACTTAAAAGAAAAACTTGCATATCCAGTTCCCCACTTTTTGAGGTTCCCTTTCAACCTTCACTATTGATTATTTTCATAAAACTGACATTTCTTTTGTCATGATTGTTCACAAATTCCTACTTTTTATTGTCAGGCAGGTCATTTGACCCTGATTCAAATGGTGGATTTGGGTTATTTTGTCCTCCTGCTGTTGTTCCCAATTAGGCCGTGGGCCAAAATCTGTGAGACGTCTTCTTAAGCAATTCCGTTTGAACGTTTAGGGGGCAACTTTCTTTCACTTGGATAAATTGATAGAGACTACAGTGATCTTATAACGCCAATGTTCCCACCCTTTCACTTGCACATTAATTAGTTATAGTCGATTAAAAATATAATTTGTTCCGCCGTAATCTAAGAAATCGCGAGAAATCGAGTTTTGCTTATCAGCCAATCAGATGCATGAATCTCAGCGCGAGAGCTCGGTCATTTAAATATGGCAGCGCCCGTGAAATGTTTTTTGCACTTTTTTCAAGACGAAGAACGTCCAGTTATTTCACTTTCTGGTGCCAGTTGGTGGCGATTTATTGAAAGTTGCAAGTCCTTTATAGACCTGGACGGCAGGGAGAAAGAAATAGCCGAGACTTTTTCTCAGTACACAATTGAGTCGCCAGACCCGCTGAGCTGGGGTACCATAGGAAGTGCTACTCAAAGTACACAGACAAAAAAATTAGGAGAGCACTGTTGTGGAAATTCTGAAGCAAAAGTCTGAGTCTGTTTAAGAGAGTGAAAATAGAAAATTTATTAGATTAATTTATTAATTTATTACATTTATTTGTTATTTTTTGAGAGTACTATCTATTTTAAGACAGGGACTGGCAACAAAACTCGTATTGTAAATATTTCTCATCTAGCCAGTCTTCATGGTCCAAGGAAAGGTCTAGCTTTTGTTGGTCTCTATGTTTTTACTGGATCTGACACTTTTAGTGCCTTTTAAAGGGAAAGGAAAAGATAAACCCTTAAGGCTGATGCTTGAATCAGAGCCAGCTGTTAATTGCTTTCAAATTCTTGGGAAAAATTGGGATGTTGATGATGAATTGTTCCTTCAGCTTGAAGAATTTGTCTGTCACTTGTATGGACAGATAAACCAGGTTAATGATGCCAGGTTTAAAATGTTCTCTTCTCTGTAAATCAGATAAATCTTTTCCACCACATGAGGATTGTCTTTGACAACATTCTAAGCGAGCTGCATACCAGCTAGAAATTTATAGAATGTGTTTCGACCAGTTTATTAACACCCCTAACCCAGACGGCCATGGCCTGTCCTTTGAAGATGGAGTGCTCTCCTATTGTTGGATGGTAAATCCCATAGCTCCATCTGATGTCACGATGGCCATATCTGGCAAGACAAATGCATGTGCTACACAAATCTGTCCATGAAAAAGGGGTAATGCCACGTAGTGACCTCTGCCAATGTGTTTACTGTGCAAACTGTCCTGTTATGATTGAAAACGAGAATGATGTGAAATGGATATATTCAGATGACTGGATGGTTAAGATAATGTTTTTCATATATGTTGTAAGTTTTTGATGAAAATATAAAAAAATAAATATGAAAGGTCTGGATTTAAATATGATGTAAATATGATATGTTTGGATTTAAATGGTATGATGTCGCAAGGGAAGGTTAAGATCGAAATAGTATAACTGTAAATATGAGAGGTTCATATTTTTATATTGTATGTAGATATCGATCGCTAGTTAGTTTTTATTGACAGTGAAAATTATATATTATTCCATTTTTTATAGCAAGGTTTACTTGTGATAGTAAGGCTTTATTCAACTAAATTATGTTGTTTTGATTATTTTTTAGACTGAAAGTACCCTACATTGTTTTTGTCATTAAGTTAATAAATGCAATATGAAGGAAAGTGAAGTGTCAGTTTTTCAATAATTAAATCAGTAAGAAATTATTTGGACAAAAAACAAGGTTTTTGCATATTAAATAATTGTCCTTTGTCCTTTGGCTGTATAAAGTGGAAAATATGTAATAGTTCAGGTTCAGTGGCTCTGTGGCAGCGAAAATCTAAACTAAAGGTCAAAATTGCACTTCCGTGTTGACTTCATCGGTTTTTGCATAAAAAAACCTTTTCTAATGATCAATCTTAATGATTTTAAAGTATTTTGGTAAAGATTACTTGGTTAAAACCAAAAATATGGAGATTTTCTTATTTTTAACCACCTATAGGCCAGATGTGGAACTACCGAAATTTGAATTGGCTGTAATTAATTAATTAATGAAAACGTGGAAACATTGGCTTTTTGAGATCACTGAAGTCCAAAGTATCTAATCAAACTGGAGGAAAGTTGCCCCCAAAAAGTTCAAACGAAAAGTCATCGTACAGATTCTGGCCCACGGCCTAAATACGATTTAGTGCTAGATGGAGTAATTCTGTTCTTTCATATATTTACCCTGGCCTTCGTCAGGAACAGTTTAAAGTCTACTACTGTTTTCTTTTCTTCCTCCAGATTTGGTTTGGCTTAACTGCCTGTTTCCTATGTCTGTTCTTCCTTTTTTTACTCTCTATTCTCATTAATTAAATAACAGATTTTTTTTTTTCTTTCTTGAATTCTTAGGACTCTCACAGATTCGGAGCTCAGATAACTAAAGCTCTTCAAGACATTATGACTCTCCTCTCAGCTGACACCAAACGCTCTTCCTCCTCCAAAAGCGTTGCGCAGCCGCAGGCCAAGAAGCTCCTCTGATGAGAGCCAGATCAAATCACAACACAGTCCAGACCTCTGTTTCACACTGTCAGTAACACTTACACTTATAACTTTTAGTAAGTCAAAAACACAAAATGTCCTTTTTAACCCTGCTTGCTGAATGGGGAATTTTTTAACAAATATCAGGCAAAGGTCACTTCCTTAGAGGCACAGGAAGGGGCCAATCAAGCAGGATTAACAGCTCACTGACAGAGTTTAAATATATTAAATGCTTTATCTTGTTGTTTCAGAGTTCTCATAGAGGATTGCACAGCCTGAACTAGAAGATAGGTTGTTATTACAGTGTTTGTATTCTGGGAGAATGTTTAAGTAAACGGCATAAACTCCAGTGAAAAGTAAACCTGACCTGTTAAAGCTGCTTTTCAAATACATAATTTGATTTAAGTTAAGAATTTCAGCTCTTAGTTTTCCTCCAAACCTCAACATAAATCACAGCAGTGTTTCCCAACCCTAGTCCTCAAGCCACACTGCCCTTTTATGTTTTTCATGTTTCCCTGCTCCAGCGTACCTGGTTCTAATGAATGGGACTTTAGCAGCTTTCTGCATAGCTGAAAGGTAAAGGGAGACTTGGAAAACATGGAGGGCAGTGTGCCTTTAGGACCAGGGTTGTGAAACACCGAAGTTGAGGAAATTCCACCTGGGTGGAGAGCTGTCAAAAAATTGCTCAGTCAGCAATTTAGCAAGAACCTTCTGTAGCAGTGCTAAAATCAGAGAAGAGCAGGCTGAACAAAAAGGGACAGAGAAATATGGAGATTAGTCCTAAAACATGAGTTTGTCGGTTTTAAAGCTGTATGGTGGGAAATAAGAAAAGGGAAAGGGAAGAAATTGTTCAACTTTCTTTTTTGTATGTCTTTATCAGCATGTTGAATAGATAAATATGCTGTTAGTATGTTAGTTGATTGTCCGACTGTGCTTTAGTTTTCCTTATATTGGAAAAACACAGGCAGAAGTGTCGGATGTGCTCTAAATGGGATTTTGTGGTATGTAGCTGTATTATCATCTAATTTATTATTATTAATTCTAAGCTTGTCATTTTTTAAGATTTTTTAGAAGGGCGTGCCAAAAATCACAGGCTCTGGTTTTGGGGGCTTTTTTTGTGTAAATTTCTTTTTTTCTTTTTTTTTTTTTACAAAATTAGTGTATATTAATGCAGCCAAATTCCCAATAAATCCTCTCTCATTCAAACCTTTTTTTGTTTTGTTTTTTAATTATTTTTAAAGCATTTCCGAACTTGCATTGCTCTAATAACAGTCATCTTTTATAAGTAAAGCATCATCCTGCACGATCACCATCAAAGTAGATAAGACAACATCAGTGAACTTGGCTGCCTTGACATACTATCATTTTTTTAAAAAACAAAGTCCTGTTGCCTTCTTTTTTAAGCCCTTAGCATTAGTACGACTTCGATGGCATTTAAGCTACAGAGATGTTTCTGACCTGAATTCAAGTATTTATTAAGCTGAACAAAATCATTGCAAAAGTTTTATTCAATGCATTCCCTTTGGGAAACCTCCTGGCAGATGGTCTGTTGCCGATCTGTTTTCTTTGTGTGTTTTAATAAAGTTGGTCGGTTAGCTCTTTTTTGTGTTGGTAGCGACGTTATGGTAGAGCTAAAGATGTGAGTGACTCAGATGGTGCTCTTAGACCCCTGTGAAATCTGCTTCTGTCTCAGGTTACACATTTTCATAGTTTCATAATGTCAGACTGGCAGAGTGGTCTCTGGTTTCATTTACAGGCTCTGACCACACAGCCACAGCCCTTCTGTTGCTTTCTAAAGGATCTAGAAACATATTTTAAAGCTGCCACTCTTCTCTTTCCTACTTTTACAAAAGGTTCTCCATTTATTACTGTGTAACTACCTTGTTATATCATTGTAATAGTCTATGGTGTGTTCTTTAAAATGTTTGCTCATAATTCTTTAATAGACTAAGTGTGATCACACAGCTGAGACTGTGAAATACTACTTGAGACTTAATAAAAACATACACTTTATATTGCCTTCTTTTCAGGATGTGACAAGAGTATTTTTGTCTCCTATAAGGGGCAACTAGAGTGTTTGGTTTTTAGGATGAGGCCTTTCATAGAATACTGCTGCATGTCAAATAATTGCAGTTTCAATCAGAGCCTTACTCAAATGAATATCTTCAACAGGCCTAGAGGAGATTAAACCAGCCGTGTGCCTCTGCCTCACTGTGTAATGTATGTATTGTGAGTGTTCGTATAATAAATGCTTTTACTTTGCTTTTTATATTTTTTTCATTTGACACATGTGGAATATAATCTGTTTGACAATGAGACTCAATGTTGTAGACTCAATGTCTAAGAGATGCTAAATTGACAGTGGTTTAATACGTCAGTTTTTATTTGAAACATTTGAATGTCAGTGGAGGACGTTGTGAAGGTTTTTTGCAAACATGTTGGTATGTTATGCAGAATAAAATGTTTACTTACAACACAGTGCTTCTTGTCCTTCTATCTTTTCTTTTTATTATTGACTTGTCTGCTAAAGGAAGTGTTACCATACATTCCATGAACATGTCACAACAGAGGTATACCGATTCAGTTTTCTGCTTTCAGCTGATTTGTACTGACGTTTAACTGTCTGCTCAACGCCTTTCATTGGTTTCTCTCACTTTCACTCATAAGTGTGTCCATGTTTAATTTTGTGTTGCTGAAAAGAATTAGGACCACCACAGATTTTTCTACAAATCAAAGGCATTAAGGCGACAGTGCCCAGTTTCCAGTCAGGCTTCAATAACAGGAACAAGGTACAAGGCATGAATAATTAGCTTGCGCAACCACATTTATTGTTGATGACTCAGGAAAACTCTTTTAATGTTTAATGTAGATAAAAATCTTGGCCCTTTCATGTAACAAAGTTGCTTTTGCTCATCTGAGTTGCATGCATTTCTTCATGCACAGCTCAGCTTTGAAGAGCTCGGGTCTCTTCAAAGCATGTCCTCATCTTTTCTTCCTATCAACTTCACTGTGTATTTTTCTAGAATGTTTCTTTACCAGAGTAGACAGGGATTTTGCACTTGTTAACCAGCGCTTTGTGTGTGTGTGTGGTCCAGTATGAGACCAGTGCTGACATACTTTAATTGTGACATGAATAAATTACACATTGCTGTACTACAGACTTCTATGCTTTTTTCTTAGGTTTCCAAAAAAAGAAGCATGTTGTATAGAAAAATAATGTGTTGTGAATAGATTACAGCTGTGAAAAAATTTAGTATTTGATTACTATATGAATTCTTCACTGCACATTTGCAACACAGCTTGTGTGATCACATATCCAGTACCAATTGCTGAAAAGATATGTTAGGATGCTATGAGACATGTGAATAAAAACAGAATCTTATCATAAAATGCTGAAAAAAACTGTGACTTATTTCTAAAAGAGGACAGAAAACCTTTTTGGAAAAAATGCTATATAATCATGAAAAATCATTTTGAATTTTGTCACTGTCTTGTCTTATCTTGTAATACTGCAAGGTTCAGGGTAAGAACCCTCATAGTCCTCTTTAAAACCTTCTGTTCTACTTTTCTCTACATAGGCTCTTCTGTATATTATTACAGCTGCCACGTCATGACTAAAGTCTTAAATTGTGACTGAAAAGACACTTGCAAAAACTGAAGGCCATTTACCCCTAATACCTACTCAACTCGCCTCATTTTAACTCAATTTCTGTGACACAAAGATGACAAATAGGGGATAGCATGGTGACAATATGGTTAGAAGTTACCTGTTTACCCCATTAACAGTTGCAAAAAAAATTCTAAATCACACGGCCACTATTGCCACATTATAAAATTGCATTAATATTGTGTGTCAATTTTGCCCGTTTCAGGATCTAAACAGATCATCAGTGATTTTGTGTTGACAGGGTGTGGACATGGGACACAGTGGACTTCAGAATAACTCTGAGTTTTATTCAGCAAATAACCAAAGGTTATCAAAATGACTACAGGAAAACGTAAGCCAAAAGTTAAGAGTGGGTAATAACGAGGAAGATAATGAGAAGCCAGGGGAAAAAAACAAAAATATGAATAACTCACATTAGAAAGCTGCTTGACAGAAAAGCTATGACCTGAAAACTGCATGGAGGTTATTACTGAGCTGAAGCAGCCGGGGTAGTTGACGGAAATAAAAAGAGGGGAGTTATTCACAAGAGTGAACAAACACTAAAGAACTGAGGACAGGGAGAGTAAAATAAACTGAGAACATGGAAAACACAAGAATGTTGTGCATGCCTGCACATGGATCATTCACCCTCGTTAAAGAATACCAGAGAAACTCACCCCAGGATAGTACTAAAGATAGCATGCATGATTAGGCAGAAATTCAGTGAATAAATGGGACATTTTAAGCATTATATTGGGAAATTCAAGTAGGAATATAAAATATTGAGACAAAACAGAAAATTACTTTTTTTGGTTTAAATTCCTGATTTGGCCTTTTAACAAAATATGTAAAAAGAAAAAACAGAAATACATTTTTAATATTAATAATTTATTACTATGTGATAGGTCAAGATTATTTTTTGTGTAGTCTTGTGCCCCCTGTTATCAGGTATACCTGATTGTGTAAAATAGGTTTTTGAGCAAAGTTTTTACCATTAAATTATGCAAAAGGTGTCAGACGCAAAACATTTCAGAAACCGTATGTATCAAATATGATACATTTGGCATTACAGGGTTAAGTCCATTTTAATTTTAATAATTTTAATACATTTATATTCAGTCATTGTAAACCACTGAGTATTGTGTTACTGTTGTGTTTTTTTCTCTGTTCATACTAACCTGCGTTTGTGCCGAATACTCTGAATTTTCCAAAGGATTAATT